ACATTTTATAGGTTTATTTAAGCATCTTCGGTATTGATAAGCTTAGAATCATCAAACTTTGTGAGTTGATGCATCTTGGGTTTTTGGAGAGTGACGACCAAAAAGTAGGTCACGGTGACCTACTTTTGACATTTTATGGCTTTATTTAAGGATCTCTGGTAATTATTGGCTTAGAATCATCAAACTTTGTCAGTTGATGTATTTTGGGCTTTCGAAAATCGCCTACTTAAAATTAGGTCACAGTGACCTACTTTTAACATTTTATGGCTATAATTAAGTATATCCAGTTCTTATTGACTTGGAATAATCAAACTTTGTCAGTTGATGCATTTTGGTTTTTCCAAGAATGTAGATGAAAAAGTAGGTCAAGGTGACTTACTTTTGAATATCTCACATACTTATTGGCTTAGAATCTTCAATCTTTGTCTATTAATGCATCTTGAGTCCTCAGAAAACTTCAATCTTAAAGTAGGTCATTGTGACCTACGTATGTTATTTTTAGCTCTACTGGTCAGAGACCAGAAGAGCTTATGCGATAGTAATGTGTCCGGCGTCCGTCCGTCCGTCTGTCTGTCTGTCTGTCCGTCTGTCTGTAAACAATTTTTCAAAATGCTACTCCTCCTACAATTTTCGTCTGATTTCAGTATTACTTGGCACACAAGTAGACTACACTAAGATACATAGAATAGTGCATCGGATTTTAATTTCTATGAACGGTGTTGCCATGGTGACTAAAAATAGAATTTTCTGTGAAATTCCTTAAAAACGCTACTCCTTCTACAGTTTTGGTCTGATTTCAATATAACTTGGCACACAAGTAGACTACACTAAGATACATAGGATAATGCATCGGTTTTTGATTTCGATGAACGGTGTTGCCATGGTTACTAAAAATAGAATTTTCTGTGAAATTCCTGAAAAATGCTACTCTTTCTACAGTTTTGGTCTGATTTCAGTATAACATGGCACACAAGTAGACTACACTAAGATACATAGGATAATGCATCGGTTTTTGATTTCGATGAACTGTGTTGCCATGGTTACTAAAAATAGAATTTTCTGTGAAATTCCTTTAAAACGCTACTCATTCTACAGTTTTGGTATGATTTCAATTTAACTTGGCACACAAGTAGACTACACTAAGATACATAGAATAGTGCATCGGTTTTTGATTTCGATGAACTGTGTTACCATGGTTACTAAAAATAGAATTTTCTGTGAAATTCTTTTAAAACGCTACTCCTTCTACAGTTTTAGTTTGATTTCAAAATAAATTGGCACACAAGTAGACTACACAAAGATACATAAAATAGTGCAATGGTTTTTGATAAGTACAAACCAGTAGAGCTACAGTCTCGACAGAGACTTCTGGTTTTTATAGCTTTATTAAAATATCTTCAGTTATAATTGGCTAAGAATCATCAAACTTTGTCAGTTGATGCAACTTGGCTCTTAAAATACTTAGGGTTAGAGGCTTCCAATAGAAGTGATAGGTTGTACAATTTATCAGAAGAGCGATTCAAGGCCCATGGGCCTCTTGTTTATGATCCAAATAATATGTACATGTACGAGGGTTGATCCAAAAGTTCGTGGAATTTCTTCATATTTTATTTATTCATAGGTAAAATTGGCTGAAATTTACAAATGAGAATATGGACACTTGTTGAATATTTTAAATTTAAAAAAAATTCAGATATTTATGATAGGAACTCTATGGTAGTTGCCATAGAAACGGTTGTTTGGAAATGCGGGGGAGACATTAATGCGTTTATTATCATTTTAATTCTTAATACGTGAAATGAGAATAAAACCGCCCTATGTGATATATAAAAGGATCAGTGGGTACATAGAAGAATTCATGGATTACCAAACGATTCTTGCTATGGTCCTCCCAAGCTTTCTGAAAGACACAAGAACAGATACATGTACATCTACTGGTTAGAATCTAGGACAACAGAATTAATATCACTACGACAGTAAGGTATCAAATGATGGGGAAAATAGTCAAAGCCATGCTTTATACTGTGCCAAACACCAATGCTGAACGTGAACGCGTCTTCTCTACGGAGAGGAAAATACAGACAGAGACTTGTGCTAATGTTTACAATAAAACCATCTGTGCCCTACTTACCACGAAATTAACAACAACAATGTAATCTTGTGAAAACATGGAAGAACTTTAATTGCTCCAGGCAGCAAAAAGGCTTGTGAATCATATAACAAAGACTGGTTCCTAAGTAGTGATTAACTCTTTGACTATTTGTGTCTTGACTGTTTTAAAATTTTGAAACCATCTTTCATTTTGTATATTCTTAATTTAATTTTAATGGTACACATTGGCGTGTCTAGAGAGAGAGAGAGAGAGGGGGGAGTTAAAATGTCGTAAGGGTGGTATCTACATTGCAATACAACAAGCTACAACAAGTTTACAATCTGCAAGGCCTTTTAGTTTCTTTAGTTATATTCCCTCATGGAGGCTCCGTGTTGCAGTAGCTGCTGGCACGATAAAGATCCCTTCCTGCTCAGTGACCCAAAGTGCCGAGTATAGGACACAATTTGCAGGACTACACCGGCATGAGTGAAAAACTCTCGAGAGGAACGTTAAAGAATACAATAGGTCCACGAGCCTTATAGGTCAGCTGAGTATCATGTAACAACTTCCCAACAATTGAATTAGTTCGTGTTTTAAATCAAAGGGCATGAAACTCAAAATTTTGAAAGAGGCACTATTGCGTACCTTAACTATAGACTTAGATTGCTTACTTTAGTTACTTACTACCCAGAGGTAAATCGGAGTAAGAAAGAGAAAATGCATTTTCACTTTATAACCAGTTGTGCACCCCACCCCTACGCACTGACCCTGGAGGCACATATTTTAAAATTCTGGAAATTTTATCATAAACTTTATTTAGGAAATAAAGTCCGCGATTTCGTGAATGTTGCAGGATATCCTCCGAGGTCGAGAAATGTTTGCAAGATAAAAGCCGAGGCTTTTATATTTCACAGAGTTGTGGAAAACTTTTTCAGGTAACCAGTCATTCGGACTGGCTAGAAGACAAAACAAGCCAGTCCGAAAACTTAAGTCGCAAGGAAAACCAGAAGTCTCTGTCGAGACTGAAGCTCTACTGGTTTGAACTTATAGCAAAGGAAGGGAAGAGTACTTAAGCAGCTCGGATTTGAAACTTTACAACAGCAATATATAGAATAATGATCATTGATAAAGTCTCTTTATGTTCTTAGTGTAGTCTACTTGTGTGCCAAGTTATATTGAAATCAGACCAAAACTGTAGGAGGAGTAGCATTTTGAAACAATTTTACAGACATTTCAATTTTTAGTAACCACGGCAACACGGTTCATCAAAATTAAAATTTGATACACAGAATTATGTATCTTAGTGTATTCTACTTGTGTGCCAAGTTATATTGAAATCAGACCAAAACTGTAGGGGGAGTAGCATTTAGAAACAATTTTACAGATATTTCTATTTTTAGTAACCACGGCAACACCTTTCATCTAAATCAAAAACCGATACACAGATTTATGTATCTTAGTGTAGTCTACTTGTGCGCCAAGTTATACTGAAATCAGACCAAAACTGTAGGAGGAGTAGCATTTTAAAAGAATTTCACAGAAATTTCTATTTTTAGTAACCACGGCAACACCGTTCATCGAAATCAAAAACCGATACACACAATTATGTATCTTAGTGTATTCTACTTGTGTGCCAAGTTATACTGAAATCAGACCAAAACTGTAGGAGGAGTAGCATTTTGAAAGAATTTCACAGAAATTTCTATTTTTAGTAACCACGGCAACACCGTTCATCGAAATCAAAAACCGATACACAGAATTATGTATCTTAGTGTAGTCTACTTGTGTGCCAAGTTATACTGAAATCAGACCAAAATTGTAGGAGAAGTAGCATTTTGAAAGAATTTCACAGAAATTTCTATTTTTAGTAACCGCGGCAACACCGTTCATCGAAATCAAAAACCGATATACACAATTATGTATCTTAGTGTAGTCTACTTGTGTGCCAAGTTATACTGAAATCAGACCAAAACTGTAGGAGGAGTAGCATTTTGAAAGAATTTCACAGAAATTTCTATTTTTAGTAACCACGGCAACACCGTTCATCGAAATCAAAAACCGATACACAGAATTATGTATCTTAGTGTAGTCTACTTGTGTGCCAAGTTATATTGAAATTAGACCAAAACTGTAGGAGGAGTAGCATTTTGAAAAATTGTTTACAGACAAACGGACAGACAGACGGACAGACGGACGGACGCCGGACGCATTACTATCGCATAAGCTCTTCTGGTCTCTGACCAGTAGAGCTAAAAATATCTTTTTTTTTAATCTTCTTTTATTACTTCATAATATAACTCATTAATAGAGAAGATAGAAAAGGACACTGAGCAGTTTTAATGTAAATCTACTCAGTCTCCATTTCAATCTCCTCTATGATTTCTCTCAACAAGTTATCATTCGTATCTAAGTCCTGTTCCAGGTCCTCTTCTGAGTCTTCATCACTTTCTCTGTCTACCTCCTCTTCTCTTTCCGCACCTTGCCTCGCCTCTCTACTATCTCAGACTCACTCTCAACTTCATTCTCACTCTCTTTTTCACCCTCACTCTCCCTCAAAAGTTCTCTTCTGTCACTTCTGCCATTCACACTGTTCTTCTGATTGGGGTCTTTTCTTGCATCTCTTGTAAGTTGCACGGCGTCTTTGTCTTGATGAGGATACCTGAGAAAAAATAATGAAATAAATCAATTCTTCTTGCTTAATTACAGTCATTTCTATTCATAATTCCTTCTTTATAATAACTCACCATCCATTTGTCAATAGCAGGGTTGGGGTCAAAGTTAACTATAGAAGGAACTATAGAAGGAGACCATCAAGTCATTGAGGTGGCTTTCTGTCAGACGATGCCTCCTGTCAGTTTTAATCAGTGACAGCTGATTAAAACCGGTCTCATTCATAACACTAGTTGGAGGAAGACTGTGTATCAGATCTATCAGAGCAAGGATGTTTGGCACACCACTTTCACCAAAAGCAGCATGGATATCTTGCCAAGAGGTAACCTTAAATTGCCCACCAAATCTGAAATACCCACAAATGCATGTAACAAAAATAAAATTATCTCAAAAGCATTTTATAATCACAAAGAAAATTGTCATTTTAAACATTTTGCCATATAAATTGTTAACCAGAAGTCTCTATCGAGACTGTAGCTCTACTGGTTTGCACTTATCAAAAACCATTGCACTATTTTATGTATCTTTGTGTAGTCTACTTGTGTGCCAGCTTATTTTGAAATCAGACCAGAACTGTAGAAGTAGTAGGTTTTAAAGGAATTTCACAAAAAATTCTATTTTTAGTAACCATGGCAACACCGTTCATCGAAATTAAAAACCGATGCACTATTCTATGTATCTTAGTGTAGTCTACTTGTGTGCCAAGTTATATTGAAATCAGACCAAAACTGTAGAAGGAGTAGTGTTTTAAACGAATTTCACAGAAAATTCTATTTTTAGTAACCATGGCAACACCGTTCACCGAAATCAAAAACCGATGCACTATTCTATGTATCTTAGTGTAGTCTACTTGTGTGCCAAGTAATATTGAAATCAGACTAAAATTGTAGGAGGAGTAGCGTTTTGAAAAATTGTTTACAGACAGGCGGACAGACAGACAGATAGACAGACGGACGGACGCCGGACGCATTACCATCGCATAAGCTCTTCTGGTCTCTGACCAGTAAGCTAAAAATGGTGTGCTGTACTGAAAACACATACCTTCTGTAAACAAGACATCTCAACATTTGCCACTCTTCCATAATCTCAGAGACATTTATTTAGGCATTCTCCAGTGTATTGCTGAACCTGTTCACCAGAGTTTTCACATGATCTGATCCAAATTCTGTGGAAAGACATACATGTAAATATACTTGGGAATATTCAATAAATAATAATAATTTATATTAATGGAAAAAATTGTTATGAAGAAATTTAACATATAACCTTGCATATCATAACATCAGCATTTTTTTTTTAAGATGATTTTTTTTTTATGAAAATAGAATTTTGTTACATGCTCAATACCCCTTTTAGGCTTACCATTTGGTCCAGCATCATTTATTGAACAAAAAGGGCTGGAAAAAAACCCAAACAAAACTTGTAAACAAAAATCAACTAAGGAGGGAAAAGAACAAGAACTTTCATACAATAACAGAACAACAAAACAACAAAAACAATTCATTTACTTTCTTGGTTTTCAATTGGCCAGTTCTTCAAAGACCCAATAGTGGTGGCATCCAAAAGCTCCCCACTGAGGTCTTGGTATCTTTCACTGATTTTCTCTATTATCTTCTCAACTGTACTACAACTCCTTTGTTTCACATCAGATGAGCCACCTTTCAATTCATAACCTGCCCAGGACTGCTCTTGAATAATGCCTTGTAGTTTTTCACTGTTGCTAAAATTGTAAAAAAAAAAAATTCAAAATACTAACTAGGACATTTCCTTTGAAAATATTACTAACTAAATTTTAATAAACATTATATTGAGGTTCAACTTACTTTGGATCATACTGTTTAAGATAATCCACTGTGGCCAAAATGGCAACTCTTGCATCTCCAATGGTAATGTCTTGTCTTTGCAGTGTGAGTGAAAGTCTGACAAGTGGACTAATGATCTCCTGTTCCAAAATACATCAAGGAAATTATATACAACTAAAACATAACACTTGTACATGTGTATAATAGTAACCATTTTTGAAAATTTAATAACAGTTACTTACCAATAACAAGCCTGCATATGTCATAATTGAGGATGATTCAAGCAAGCGTGCAAGCCCATTCGCCTTTGCATTCGTGTGTGATGCATCCTGCAGGTGGCGAGAAAAAGCCGGGTAAGTAGTGAATAATGTGTTCAGAGCCCTTCTCATGTGAGGTAGCCACCTTGTAGAATTTACTCGGTGAGGTAGAGTACCTATCAAGTTCAAAACCTGATTGAAGAAAAAAAATCAAGATTGTAATATGACAAAACTTTTTTTTATTAATAATTAATAACAGATGTTCATTCACAACATACCGTAAGTTAATTTGATTTGATTTCATTTTCTTGTTAATTGTACGTGACAATATTTCATGCCAGAATAAACAACATATATACCTTCATGCATTCTTTCAAGTTTTTTCTGTTTGGAACTGTTTTTGTAAAAGTAATATAATCCAAGAAGTAGGGTGGTAAGGCGACTGTAGAGTGGATCATTCTTAACTGCATCCTAATTCAAGTCGATGTGCCAGGCAATGAACTCCGATTATCTCCGTGAAGTCTTTCTGCAGTAGTGCAACAAGGCCATTACGCTTTCCCACCATGTTGGATGCTCCATCGCACCCAAAGCCCACGAGTTTCTCCATTTGATCAGACAGTTTATTTTCATCAAGTTTATCTTTAACAAACTTTAATAGGTCAGCCGAAGTAGTAGATCTTGGCTCTCCAATACAGAGGAAATGCCAACTTATTTTCCCAGCAGAGCAAAATCTAATGAAAAGTGTCTCCTGCTCAGCAGTAACATTGTCAGTGGTTCCGTCCATAGTTAAAGAAAAAAACTTCGTACCTTTAATCTGTGATAACATTTCTTCCTTCAAAGTGTCAGAAATACACTCTATGAATGCTGTAGCTGCCCATCTATTGTTGTAAGTTGAGCCATGTTGCATTCCGTTTGCCTCATCAAGGGAATTCATTCAAGCAAAATCGGAAATACTTCGGTTATGTTTAATTATTGCGTGGATGTTACGAAACTTTTGTTCTATCATATTTCTAATGGATTGATTCATGGTTAGTAATGTTTTCTGGCCAACAGATTGTCGATTTTCCTCCGCATCCCTTTCTGCTCGTAATATTTCCATGGATCTTCGATGGAGAGCAGAATTTTCATGGTCAGAGATAGTAGAGTATCAGAAATTAGTAGAACCGACCAGAAAATTTTGTTCACGGTTCTTTGGCACGATGGTACTGTTATTGTTATTGTCAATGCAGATACTGCACGTCATTTTTTCACCGTCGTAGTTTAGCCATTCCCGCCCCTCTGTCCAACTGTGTTTAAATTCCCTCTTCCGAGATCGTTCATATCTAGTTTTGCTTTTATCTTTGGTTTTACGTTTTTTACCTGGTATTGCGCCAGTACCAAACTTAATTGGCCACGAACTTGACGAAGCCATGCTGGTTTCACTTTATATTAATATTAGCCTCGATCTCGTTTAAAGAGGAAGTATTAAGCAATCGCATTTTCAATTTATATGATAACTGCACTGGTAAGTGCGCCGAAGATAAACTAAAAAAAACAAAACTTAAACAAAAAACATGACCGGTCATTTGGACCGATACTGATGGCATTTTTACCGGTCACGTGCATTTTTAATCGGTTTTGCCGGCATGACCGGCAGTTTTCCACAACTCTGATTTCAGAAAACAATTCTCGACCTCCGCGGTTATCCTGCAACACTCACAACAAAGACTTTATTTCTATTCTACTAAGAGCTATGTAGTAATGGGAATCATTTCCTCTAGAAACGGGAAACGAATTAGGTCACCATGTCTCGATTAACACTGTTTTATTTAACATCAGCGGGTAAATTTGTTATGTTACCTGCGTACGGAAGGCAGACTATTTCAGCTTTCGCTGCATTAAAAATAGCCATTTATTTATTTATTTGTTTGCGTTATAAATTCATCATTTTTCAAAGTGAGAAAATTAGTTTTCTATTTTATTGCTTTATCACTAAACTCACAAAGATCAAATACGGTGTAACTATAAAAACCTACATTCACCAGCTATTTTATGCAATATACAGTAATATCAGAGCTCCAGATAAGGTGCGTATTTGCAGACATACGCTTTGAATTTTACAAAATACGCATTGGAAATTAAAATAGGGCGTATAATTAAGCATTAGCAATCGTAGATAATTATTACACCACAAAAGCACTGCATACAACAGGTTGAAAAATACAGGTACAACTTACTTAGTGATATGAATTGCAGTTTAACTCAGTGTTTGATTTTTTCAAAAAACGAAGTACAGATTTAAAAGTCTCTTAGTGACCAGGAATATTCTAGTAATGGCAACAACGATCTCCATTTAGGGAGGGAGAATCAAAGATTTAGATTTCTATAAATAGAAAGACTGTGCCCAATGCATACTTTTTAGCTCTACTGGTCAGAGACCAGAAGAGCTTATGCGATAGTAATGCGTCCGTCGTCCGTCCGTCTGTCTGTCTGTCTGTCTATCCGTCTGTAAACAATTTTTCAAAATGCTACTCCTCCTACAGTTTTGGTCTGATTTCAGTATAACTTGGCACACAAATAGACTACACTATGATACATAATTCTGTGTATCGGTTTTTGATCTCGATGAACGGTGTTGCAGTTGTTACTAAAAATAGAAAAATGTGAAAATCATTCAAAATTCTACTCCTCCTACAGTTTTGGTCAGATTTCAATATAACTTGGCACACAAGTAAAATACACTAAGATACATAATTCTGTGTATCGGTTTTTGATTTCGATGAACGGTGTTGCCGTTGTTACTAAAAATAGAAAAATTTGTGAAAATCATTCAAAATGCTACTCCTCCTACAGTTTTAATCTGATTTCAGTATAACAATTTGTGAAAATCATTCAAAATGCTACTCCTCCTACAGTTTTAAACTGATTTCAGTATAACTTGGCATACAAGTAGACTAAACAAAGATACATAATTTTGTGTATCGGTTTTTGATTTCGATGAACGGTGTTGCCGTTGTTACTAAGAATAGATTTTTTTGTGAAAATCATTCAAATTGCTTCTCTTCCTACAGTTTTGGTCTGATTTCAATATACATGTAACTTGGCACACAAGTAGACTACACTAAGATACATAATTCTGTATATTGGTTTTTGATTTCAAAGAACGATGTTGCCGTTGTTACTAAAAGTAGAAATTTCTGTGAAAAACATTCAAAATGCTACTCCTTGTACAGTTTTGGTCTGATTTCAATGTAACTTGGCACACAAGTATACTACACTAAGATACATAATTCTGTATATAGGTTTTTGTTTCAATGAACGGTGTTGCTGTTGTTACTTAAAAAAGAAATTTCTTTGAAATACATTTAAAATGCTACTCCTCCTACAGTTTTGGTCTGATTTCAATATAACTTGGCACACAAGTAGACTACACTAAGATACATAATTCTGTGTATCGGTATTTGTCATTATTCTATTTATTGCTTTTGTAAAGTTTTATATCCCAACTGCTACTTTTCTCTTTCTTTATTATAAGTACAAACCAGTAGAGCTTCAGTCTCGACAGAGACTTCTGGTTTTATTATGGGTTCATAGCCAATTTTTCATTTCTCTCAACTTGCCATATTAACGAATTCTTTTCTCTCAGTTTACTCTTGATACAATATCTTAAATGAAGGAAAGTTTTCTGTGTCTCTGGCTCTATGGTACCTTGACCTACTATGTAATCTTCCTTGTCAAAAAAGAATGCTTCCCAATTTTAGCAAAAAGTTTTGTTGGTATTTTCAAATTTTATTTTAAGTAGGATATCAAAGTCCATAAAACAATACAAAGTAGGAGCAGAGCAAACACGGACCTCCGAAACATCAGAGGTGGGTTCAGGTGCCATGGAGGCCCCTGCTGACCGTTCACACCCGCCGTGTGCTCATTGTCATGAAATATAGCGAAAATCCGTCGTCAATTCAGTGTATAAATAATGCACTAACAATTGGTATGAAAATACTAGTAAATGCATGCAGGAACTGACCTTTGTAGTTCTTTCCCTCTTCAAAAACATTTATATTTCGAGTATAAGTTAAAAATCAAAATAAGGTCAAAACATTTAAATGTAAACAAAATACTCTTCAATTATTTGGCTGAAAATCAAAATCTGCATTGATTTGAAAATCAGGGAGTAAATACAATTTGGGGTAAAAATGTTATCTGGAGATCTGAGTATCTATGCTTTGAAAGACGACACATCGATGAGGTCTAAATAAGCTTCGAGAATTCATTTCAGTTGCACAGGTTTGATACGTGTTTGTAATCTGATAATATTTTGATGACGTTCGTGATTTATTGGAGAATAATGTCCGCGGCATTTCTTTGATCTCGGCAATAATCGTGGTAGAATTCATCATAAATGGTTGATAATACCAAAAAGCAGATTTCAAAGCATTAATTTCTTTTCAGACTATGTTACCCCCACCCCCAAGTACCCTGACCCAGGGGCCATGAAATCAACCATTTTGGAAGAGGCACCTTTCATTATCATTGGGCGCGCTTGATTTGTCTACACCTTACACCCAGTGTACACTTTTCCATAATCAAGCGCAAAAGTGTACAGTTTTGGTGTACACCTTCTACACCCTGTGCAGGACAATAAGGACATGTGTAGGGAATTGCACCGAAAATTCAATATGGCCGGCTAATGACGAGATGGTAAAACTGCAGAAATTCTTTTTCTGTATTTGAGTTTACCGTCAAGTATTTGATAGGTAAGGTTGATTGTGATGAATTGTTTTTAGTAATTTAGTGGACCGTATTTTGGCCATTTTATGGAAAATGAAATACTTCATAATTTGTAAAATGAAAAAAATAAGCAAGTCTTGCAAATTTGGGTGATAAAGTCTCTATATATAATTGACAATGGACAGATATTTAGTTATAGGGGTAATTGTAAGCAGCTAAGAAAATGTTTTTATAAAAAATGCTTTGCCTTTTCATAAAATGTTTTGTTTTTAAATGAATTTTTAAAAAAATGTTTACAATCGCAACAAATATTTTTTTTAAAAATCGTCTGCAAATAGGTTCCCCTCAGTTGGTTGAAATTTTGACGTCCATGTTGAATTTGCTACACTACACCCAATTTCACTTGTTTATAAGGTGTAAATCGTCTACACCGGATGAAGTAAGGTATGGACAAATCAAGCGCGCCTATTATTATGTACGTAGAACATTTGCATAACTCCCAAGAACAAAGGAAAAGGTTTTCGAAGAATTCATGCATTTACACTATATAATCATTGGAGCCTCACCCAACACCAAAACCCCTGATCCTAGGGCCCTAAAATTCACAAATCTGGAAGAGGCATCCTTCCTTATTTTAACTATGTTCATAGTTCATTGGTTTAATACTCAGGAGCAGAGAAGATTTTTAAAGAATTAATGTATTTTCACTATATGATCAATAGAGCCTCACCCTAACACCATAACCTCCTACAAAGGGGCCCTGGAATGCACAATTTTGGAAGAGACGTTATTGCTCATCATAACTATGTACTTGATTATTTTGTTTTAAGCCCAGGAGCAGAGAAGAAGATTTTCAAAGAATTTATGCATTTTCACTATGTAATAAATAGAGCCCCGCCCTAACACCAGAACCCCTGACCCCAGGGCCATAAAATGCACAATTTTGGAAGAGGCAGCCTTATTCAACATAACTATATATAAATTGTTAGTTTATTAAATACCCAGGATCAAAGAAGATTTTCAAAGAAATAATGTATTTTCACTATATTATCTTTATAGCCCAGCCCTAGCACCTAAAAACCCCTGACCCTGGGGCCATGAAATTCACAATTTTGGAAGAGACAGCCTTATTCAACATAACTATCTACTTATTTAGTTTACTTAATGCCCAGAAGCAGAGAAGAAGATTTTCAAAGAAAT